AAGATGTATAGATGAAATATTAGAAATTCCTTTATATTCAAGATCAAAGTCTATATAAATTCTGTTTGGCATTATGTTTTTATAGAGAGAAAACAAAATCAATGAAATCGGATTAGGGGCACTTAAAATTTCAGTTTTTTGTTTGTTTTGCTAACATAGAAGTCTAAGGTGAACAAAACTTGCTAGAAGTTTTGTGCCGGGGGTTACTTTGATCAGATTATGTACATTTTTAATGGCGACACAAAAACTATAACAATTGTGATGGATAACTAGATAAATAAACAAACTGGGTAACTATGTAACGAAATAACGGGATAATGAAATATAATGATAATAAAATTTTTGATTAACAAATGAAGTTGATAGGTGAAACAGTGGATGGAAAAAGTGGATAGGTACCTGGATAACTGTCACAGGTGGATACACCAAGGTACTCATTCTGACACAGCTCAATAATTCACAGCTGTTCGTGTGAGCTGCGCTACGGTGACGGTGGGAGGGGGGAGGGAGGGGTTAGGCATTACGTGTGGAGTTTTTAATTGATTGGGTGGGCTCTTTGTCACAGGTCTCTTTTTGTGTGTTCGTTTGTGTGTATGTGTGTATGTTCGCTGTGACTAGTCATTTTTGCGTGCGTGTGGTTTTTTTTGTCTAGACTCTTTATCTGTGTGTGTGTGTGAGTGTGTGTGTGTGTGTGTGTGTGTGTGTGCATGTCTAGCCATGTTTTGTCTAGTCTCTGTGTTCGTGTCAACTCTGTTCGACAGCGTGTTTATCTCAATTGATTGTGTGGAGTCTATTAATGTGTGTTGTCCCTTTGTGTGGCTCAATGCATAAATGTGTGAGTGTGTGTGTGTTTGTGTGTGTGTGTGTGTGTTTCGATGAATATGGACTCCATTTAAATGCTGGTGTGAATAAGCTATTGTTTTCTTTATGTGTAAAAAGGGGTGTGGTCTTTAATGTTCGTGTGTGTGTGTATATGTGGTTCATTTCCTCATTTTTCATAGCTGAGTGCAAACGCGCGGTAGAGGGTGGAGAAGGGGGAGGGTGGGGTCGTCTTCTTGTCACTATCTATAAACCAGATCTTGATGCATTTGTTTCTTTCAGGTTAATGCATTAAAAATCCAAGATCGATAACTCCATGCTAACGTCGAGTTGAGCAGTTAAGCTTCCTGTTTTATTATGTAATCGTTCAACGGATTTTGTAAGGTCAACAACAGAAGAGAGAAGAAATGGATCTTTGAGTGTGTGTGGGGGTGGGGGGTGGGATGTCGTTATAAGAAGAATGCTCCATTAAAACATGTGCATGATATGGGTAATATTATGACAGAGAATACGACAGTGCTGCTACATACATTGTATTGAAATCAATACTGGGGACGATCTATGTGTATACATATCCGTTATTAGTCCACACTGTGTAAGGACAAGCAGTGTTTCTTCCAGTCTTTTTCTCCGGGGGTGGGGGGGGGGGGGGAGACACTTAATATTTTCGGGGGGAGGGGGGGGGCAGACTAAATTTTTCGGGTGGCGGACAGTGGTAATAATATATATTTTCTATATAAATTTCCATTTCGTTCGGGGGGGGGGGGGGGGGAAGGGGGGGAGGGGGGAGGCCGGTAGTGTTCTTGGGGGAATTCCGACCCCCCTACCCCCGATGAGATGCCTAGCAAAAACAGTGAGGAGAAGCCAACACAGGGACAAGAATACAGTGATATGACAAGTTTATGTAGAATTGACAACCAAATAACGTGAAATGACATAGTAAAATGACAAGCTAAAGGCGTGAAATGGCATTACAACCACACCGTGAAAGAACCACTGCACAATGAAATAACAAGGTACATAAAATGGTAAGAGTTATATAATACTGTGACTATCTACACTTCACCTTCGGAATTACAGATACTATGTCATTTGTTGTTCTGTTAGGATCACAGTTTGAGTTCTTTGATCTAAACAACCTCATCACCACCAAAACAATATCGACAGTACTAGCTTTATAGTCGTTCAGTGCCATTTTTATCTCAGGGTAAATCTATTTCAGTGAGGGTAGCTATAAAGTACTTGGCCAATTTAGTGAGGCTAAGAAAAGAAATTAGCCAAAAGCGATAGAGATTGCAGTTACATAAAGTACTTGGCCTTAAGTACTATAAGTGCATTTCTTGTAAAGTACTTTGCCACAAGTGCGAGACTGCAGCAAAGCAATACACTGGGCCACACGTGCTGTATTGAGTAATGGTAGCCTATATAACGCACATGGCTATATCATATGGATGCCAAAGTGAGAGTGCAACTACCTTAAAATTTTTGGTCCAGAAACAAAAATTGAAGAATTTTAATTATTTTGCCATCGTCTATTGTTTCAGCACGTACTACACTCAACAAAAAATCCCCTCCCCACCCCCCTCACACACACACACGCACGCACACACACACACACACACACACACACACACACACACACACACACACACACACACACACACACACAAACCCCACCGCACATCCTATCATAACGAGTTGTATTACTTTTTAAGTGAGAACATTTTTTGATAAAATTTCAAGACCGGTTTACCAAACAACGAGGGAAGATATTTCCACGCTCACGTCACGCCGTGGGGCCCCTCACTAACGACGTGTGCGGACCCCATTTTTTACTCACCCTAGCTCAAAGTTTCAAGTTGATTGCACTGAAAATACTCAGTTCTCGCCCTTGAATATGATCTTATTAAAATAGTTATGAATCTATTCAATGTGTCTAATGACTTAGAGTCAGTGGTTGATTAGGTTTCAGTTCTTTGGCAGTTTAATGAGTGCGTTGTGCGCGTGCTTTTGCTAGCACTCACACTACACGTGCGTTCTTAAAGAATGCTGCTCAATCTGGAAAACAAATTCCTTGAAAGCCTTAACAAGTTCCTAACTAAAAAATTCTAAAAGTATGTTTTTTTTAGATTAATTTCCTCTAATTATACATCTCTTGTTACACTCCCTCACTCTGCTTCTTCCCACGCCCACACACAACTTCCCCCACTCCCTCACATAACTTCCCCCACTCCCCCACTCCCTGACATGACCCTCCCACAAAACTAGAGCCTCTCCCTCGCTCCCCAACACACCACTGCTCATCTAAGAGGTCGGCTAATGCTCACGATATTAATGCGGGTAAATCGTGGGTGTCCAAAAAACAGTGACACATTAAGCCAGAGCGCTGTGCAACATCCCCCACACTTAGCAGAGGAACTGAGATCTCCTCACTAAATTCCTGAAAGTTCCCCCCCCCCCCTACCACTTTTTTTTGTTTAGTTTCCAACATTCAACGCGTTCCATCCTCGTCACTTCCTTTACCTTAGCGGTAATTTATTTTCGTATTTTTTAGTTTGTTGAAATAATTTATTTAATTAAATAAAACAATTTTGTCTATTAGTTAAATGTATCAAATATAAATCATTGTAAATGTGTAATGAAAACACAACCAAGTCATGTTAGAGTATTTAATATTTAAAAAAATAACCACTGAAATAAGAGATTGAAATATTTAATAATAGACCCAATTAAACATTGTTTAATAGGAAGTATTAAATATTAATATTAATTAATACAAACCTATTAAAACATGCTAATGACGTTTAATGAAAAACAAAACTATACTTTTTATGATACAGACACGTTATTTTTTTTTATATGTAGTTTTACTCAAAACTTTGAAAGATTCTTTCTTGTTTCTTGAATTTTCTGGAAAATATTCTACCGAGATAAATCAAAATCCGCCATGAGTTTTAAATCCCTGGTTAACAATTATTTCTTATAAATACACAAGTTATAACTTGCTATTTCTTGGCATTTACATCTGGATTTGTATTTCTTCTTTTTAATTATAAATGGTTATCTTTTATCTTCTTCTTAAGACAAAAATGCATGTTTACCAACTGTTTTCTAACACTTTGAAAGATCAGATTCCTCGTGACCCACTTTAGGGTAGGGAGGGGGTGTGTGTTTATAGACGAGGGCAGTTAAAGGTTGTTCCAAGTCGTACAGTCTGACAGTTGAATGGGCATCAATGTTGTCAGACGCCGAGGGTCTAATCTCAGTAAGTGCTCACTGTAAAAAATTAACGTTTTTTTCTTGTAAATTACTGTATTTTTTTACAGTAATTTACAGTATTTTTAAAAAACGGTAGCATCTCGTGAATATGACTAGTCGAATCCCGTTTACCGTTAAAATACGCTAGTCCTATCGCGTAGCCTGTCATAACCTTCATTGCGGGAGAGTGACTAAAATTAGATAAGCCAGAAACGCCTCCCGTGATTTCAATTATTAACAACAAATAAATATTTTATCTTTAATTTTAAAATATCTGCAAATTATTTTAACTGAACATCAAATTAAACAGTATTATTGAAGAGTTAAGAATATTTTATTTACATGAAAACAAAATTAAAAACCCCAAAAGTAATTAAAAATTAGCAAGTTTATTTCCGTTTCCGAAGAAGTCAGCCTACTTGTGTTTGTCAAAGCGCCATTTTGACATCTCTACTCTCGGCTAACTTCGATTGTTCATCTAAGGAAATCTATTCTACGACATTATCATCTGCATTTTATTTCAACTTCATCGCATTACTACATTCAAGGGAAACTAGACCTGGTATGTTATAATTGTTTCTTATCTTTAAATTTGATAAAAAGAAGTGTGACTTCAGTAACGAATTTTTCACTAGATCTAGATCTAGAATCTAGCTCTAGAATCTAGATCTAGATCTAGATCTAGACTCTTTCTCTAGATTCTAGTCGTTTTTAACTTGTTAAACAATAAACCGTACTTTAACACTAGATCTAGATCTATATCATATTATCTATTATCTAATATATAAAGTACAAGAAAATCTGTGATACTTTTTTTTTTAATTTTGTGAAGGAATTTGTTCTCATTTATCTTGTCTACAGTTTCTTGTTCATTTTTTTTGTCGGTTTTGAATTTGACTGTTTATATTATAGACCATCTCAACATGGAGTTGGAGGCCATTGGAGAATCAATCAAAGCTGCTTTGTCTTTAACTGATGAGGATACCCTTACAAAGATTAAAGATCTCTTGACACAAATTGGAGTTACATGTTTGGCTGACCTGATTCTTGTGAAAGAGGGTGACTTGACACCTGTGCTGAAAATCATCCAGGCCCGGAAACTAATCAGCTTCTGGCAAACGACTGAAGGTAATGCATTTTCTTATTTATTTATAATTAAAAGATTATCACAATGATTTTAATATAAATTTAATAAAGTTAACTGGACAAACATTCAAATGCATTTCCTTTATTTGGGCCTTCCCAATCTTTATTTAATGTTTAAATGTTCAAATTATTTTGGGAAATAAATTGATGAATAATTTAGATTACCAACGTTTGTCCTGCCTAGGTGTTATAACAACGATAAAATATTTTTAGGGTTTTTTGCCATTATTGATTCCTCTGCATTTTTCTTTTTTTTAGCTATTGTTCTTACATACACTTTAATGTTATTTTCCTTTCTTGTTATTACTTAAGATAATTTTTTCTATGGATTATCTTTTTTATACTTTCATTTTTAAACTATTGGATAGTCCTGGTCTTTTCATATGCCCTTATTATTTTTCTATGAAAAATAGATTTACATTTCTTACTCAGTAATTGATTCAATTTTAGATCACTTACTTTATAAATAAGTTTATTGTATATTTATCAAATGAAAAAAAAAGTACTAGATCTAGATGTAAGCCACAGCAATAAGCCTCATGGACACAGTGTAAACCAAACTAATAGTATTTTGTTAAATTAAAAAAAATTATAAAGCCACGCAACTATAGCTGAGTGTTATAAAAACAACAATTTGGTGGTCTTAATTTCAAGTGTCAGATTATAGTAAACTCTATAACATTTTAGGCCAACTTTGGCGTAGCTCATCTTTTTATTTCTTCAAAGAAAGTCTAAACTTCTATACTAGGAATAGAGATATGTGGGTTTCATAAGACTGTGTGTCATATATTATCTCTATTCTGTTCATCCATGTGTGAATTTATTTACTACTAACTGATAAATATTATTTACATTCACAGCTCCTGTTCCCTTTGCAGCCATACAATCTGCAGTGCCACATGCAGTGCACCCAACTACACCTCCTGCTTCGACCTCGAGTGATAGGCAGCCACGTGAAGTTGTGACACATTTTCGAGAATGGGATTACGTGTTCGAAATGCCCTCAGGTGATAAAGGAAAGGAAAAGGCCATCTCCACAACAGCGGCGAGAATTCGTTAGGATTGTGGTTGAGAGAATAGTGTTCAGTGGATTTCTTAACCCCACTCGCCCACAAATAAGTGAGGTGTCAAGTAGCATTGTGAGGATGCACCCAGAGTCCTTCTGCGACATGGGTGATGCAGATGTTCCACGAGGCAGTGGTTACTATTCACTTGTCCACCAGCTTAAATCAAGAGTCTTCAGAAAAACAGTCTTCAGAAAAAGTGCCGTTTCTCCCAGTGTACACACTTCAATAAAGATGGTAACAGATTTTGAGTGGGGACTTTAGATTCATTGTTTGGAATTAATGGTCTATTATCATTATGATTGAAGAGTACCGTTTTTTGTGTAAATATGTTTACTTTTTTGTACTAATTGACAAACACTGATATAACTTATTTGACATTTCTGATTTAAAAGAAACTTTCTTTGCTAACTTTTGAAATAAGTATTTTAAATATGATCTATCAAATTTTGTGTGTCTTGTTTATGATATATGCCTATATTATGAGTAAATTAATTATTCCTCTAATAAGTTCTCAGTTGTATAAATTTTTGTCCTATTATTCTTATTTTGTAACAAAAATTAAAAAATCTCATCATAGGCATTAGGTAATTATTGTCTGTAACATGATGTTTGTGCATTTTATTGAAGGGTACTACTTTCTTTCTGGTTAATTTTTAAATACTGACAAATGTAATGTGTATTGTTTTACTCTTAGCAGGAGTTCAAACTAATGATATATATATATACAAAAATACATGTTTAAAAAGAAAGTTTATAATCAAGTCAGTTTCTTTAAAGATGCATTGATTTAGTGCTGTTGATTTCTTTCATTTATTAGTAAATATGTAAGAACTTGGTGGGTTTTTTATCTGTCTTTAATGATTTTTTAAAATTGAATAAGTAACTGCAAGTTTTTTTAATACAGATATAACTTTATTTGACATTTATTTATTTCTGAATGAAAAGTAACTTTACTTGCTTTTTTTATTTAATAAAGTAGGGCCTTTTTTAGATTTGATCTGTCACTTTTAAAAAATGTTCATGTCTTATTTGTTATATTATGAGTAAATTGATCACTTTCTCTTTTTTTAAAAGTTTTATAGACTTTTCTTATTTCCCAAATGTTGTAACAAAATTTATATAACTTTTTCGTCAATGGCATTGGTTAATTATATATTACCAAGTATTGCATAACTTCTGTAGAATATTGATGATGAGGTTATTTTTTAGGACTTGTTCCACATATACCTTACTCCCCTTTTTTATGTTTTTCATTTGAAGTTAACTGATTTTGTTGCTAGTTCCTGATAAGTCAACTATTTGCACCATTTTATGACATATTTTTATTATTATTGCTTTAGATCTATTGATATTAAAAAATGGTTTTGTTCATACATCTCTTACTTGGTTCTTTTTTATATTTTATATTGTCTTGCTGTGTTTATTAGTTGTTTCTACAATAGGTGAATGAACCATTGGCTTGTTGTCTTTACTAAATGTTGATATATTAATAGCATAATTTAAAAATAAATTCATTTAATGAGACTTATTTTTATAAATCTGTACATTTTCATGCTAGAAAGTGTCTTTACAAATAATAGTAATTTAACAGAGTCTTGCTGAAAATAGGCTTCAATTGTAAAAACTTGTACCGTTTTGGGTTAACGGTATTTAAAAAACTCGTTTGAATGTCATATGTTGTATATTATAAGACGGTAACAAATTTTCGTTACAGTCTATTATTGTAAAATTTAGGTAAGATACCATAAATAAACTGAACTTATTCGGTTTCACGGTAACCTTTCTTAATGTCTGCTAAATACCCGTAAATTTAAGGTAAGCTACTGTAAATAAAACGGTAAAATTTGTTACCATATTGTGATCTCAAGGTAAATAACAGTATAAAAACGGTAAATTGTTGTAAATTAAACGGTAAAATTTTTTACCATATCCTGATTTCACGGTAAAATACTGATTAAAAACGGTAAAAAACGCGTTACCGTTTTTTAAATCACGGTAAGGTACCGTATTTTTATGGTAAATTACTGGCAACTGAGCTGCCAGTAATTTACCGTGATTTCACGGTGAAATTTTTTACAGTGCTGGAGATGTCAGTAATGACAGTATACAGGGTGGGGTGGGGGGGGGGGGGGTTAACATATGTCAGTAATGACAGGAGTTGAAGTTGTTAGACTAGGTACTGACAGTATACAGGGTGGGGTGGGGGTTGACTGGTGGGATGGTGGGGGGTTAACAGATGTCAGTAATGACAGGAGTTGAAGTTGTCAGTATACTGACAGTAAACAAGGTGGGGTGGGGGGGGAAGGTTGACTGGTGGGGGGTGGGGGTGGGGGGGGGGGTTAACAGATGTCAGAAGGACAGGAGATGTCAGACTAGGTATTGACAGTACACAGGGTTAGGCGGGGGGGGGGGGGGTTGACTGGTGGGGGGGGGGGGGGTAACAGATGTCAGATGAACAGTGTTGATGTTAGTGAAGGTACTGACACATAGACAATAGTAAGCTTGTGTGTGCTAAATATTGGGGGAAATATTGAAAAGAAAAGAGTGAGCTATAAAATACGCAGGGTTTGAGAAGGGTAGGAGTATTGGTACGGGTTGTGATTCAGAATACAGAATAGTGCGGTATTAGCTGGTGTCAATGGATGTAGTACAACTCTAGTAAGAGAGAGTGTGGCATCAGATGTTATGTCTGCTAGTGACATATTAGATGTTATGTCTGCTAGTGACATATTAGATGTTATGTCTGCTAGTGACATATTAGATGTCATGTCTGCTAGTGACATATTAGATGTTATGTCTGCTAGTGACATATTAGATGTCATGTCTGCTAGTGACATATTAGATGTTATGTCTGCTAGTGACATATTAGATGTTATGTCTGCTAGTGACATATTAGATGTCATGTCTGCTAGTGACATATTAGATGTTATGTCTGCTAGTGACATATTAGATGTCATGTCTGCTAGTGACATATTAGATGTTATGTCTGCTAGTGACATATTACATGTTATGTCTGCTAGTGACATATTAGATGTTATGTGTGCTGGTGACATATTAGATGTTATGTCTGCTAGTGACATATTAGATGTTATGTGTGCTGGTGACATATTAGATGTTATGTGTGCTGGTGACATATTAGATGTTATGTGTGCTGGTGACATATTAGATGTTATGTGTGCTGGTGACATATTAGATGTTATGTGTGCTGGTGACATATTAGATGTTATGTGTGCTGGTGACATATTAGATGTTATGTGTGCTGGTGACATATTAGATGTTATGTGTGCTGGTGACATATTACATTCATGTCCGCTCGCGACATATTACATGCCATTTTTTATCTAGTGGGATCTTACATTAGATCTGTTTGTGACATGCTAAGTGTCATTTTATCTAGAGAAATATTACATCATGACAGCTAGTGACATTCCAAAGATGTCAAACCAGTGACAATGTACATGTCATGTGTGCCAATATACGCACAGCTGCATCTTCTATTGACAGTAACTATTTCCAGCTATCCTAGACGCCACCAACATACACATTTCTCCCCTTTAATTAATTAACTAAAAATACCCATCTCATTGATTAAAATAATTCCTTAATTGACCTTGGAGTCAACAAGTTCAAACCGTGTAGATCTCGCATTTTCTCGCGTTGTTCCCCCGTTATCTTAAGATTTGATAAGCTCCACGAAGCCATGACAAAATTGACGGGTCCCAGTGAGATTCTAAAGGAACCGAGAAAATTGCGAGATGCTAGTGCATGACGGGACTGGGGGGGGGGGGGAGGGGACGACGACAACCCGCTTTTTATTGCGCGAGGCTCTCACTTCGCGCGTGCGAAATCTTGTCAAGCGAACTATTTCACCGCGTGAGTATCACTCATGCCGGCCTGCGAGCGGTGAGTAACTACCGGGGGAGAGGGCGGCGTGCAGTGGTTATGACTCTTCTGTGGCCTATCGTCCTGTTGAAATCCCTCAGTAAAACACGGACCAACATGGGAGCGAACTCCGTCAAATTTTAAACGCATGGTTGAAATAAATCAACCGAGGCATATCACTTGCTAATTACGTAGCGTAATTAAAAATCGATTTTTTATCTAATTTGTAAGTATAATTTATTTAATTTAAAAATATAGAATTTAATTAATGCGGTATTTACATTTTGTTTATCTTGTATAAAAAAAATTATCAGACAGTAGTTAATGAAATTTCACTTACTTTTAAAAGTTTTATTAATGTTAAATAAGTAATGTCAATTTAGAATTGTTCTATGTGTATTTTCAAAGTTAAGATATCTTGAGTTAAAAAAAAACTTGAGTAAAAAATTGAGTTAGTTTAAGCAAAGCTTAACATCTAGTTTTCGGTAAGTAATTTTAATAATATGAACTGTTAACAGTTGGTCAACTACTCGTGTTAACTTTTTTCAGGAGAGTTGAGATTGGTAAACAGTAGGTAAACAAATCTGTGGGAAACTTTCATGTGATACCTTCGTAGCTGGAGCTGTGTGCTAAAAGCTGGGATTAACAGCTACGGCTGTGTGAAAATTGTGATATTTCTTGTGGATTAATTTGAAAGTATACTGTGGCTGTTAAGATTAGCGGATTGAGAATTTTGTGACTAGGGTAAACAGGGTCGTTGCATAGACATGTGTCTCAGTTTTGTATCAGTGTTGACATAGACACTGTCTAAGTGTTCACATAGACACTGTCTCGGTTCATACAGCAAGTCATCTTACATTGGGCAGAGTTATATATCTCGTCAAAGTGCTTACAGACATACTGCTTGTATGTAAAGTGCTTACTAAATTCTTACATATACATATCGATTCACTTGTTATACTCATAAAAAAAATCTTAAATAAATTTGATCTAGAGTGATCAGTTTTGGGAATTTCATTAAACAACAAGATCTAAGTATAATCTTGTTGAAAGAACATAGCTACAAACAAAACAAGAACAAGGACAAAGCAAAACTTGAGATGTAAGGAGCCTTAAAGCTACCGTCTGCTTACAAACTCACAACATAGATAAAACATCAAGACACCAACATACGACGTGACCTCGTCTTGAAATCCCAGGGCAAACGGAATAATTCACTTTTGATAATGTTCAATTTTCTCCCATTCGCTGGATTGCGTTAGCCAACAACTTGATGAATCCCACACAATGGATACATTCGTCGTTATTTTCATCACAACCCTCTCTATCTTCTCTATGGCGTTTGGGACCATTCACGAGCATGAAGGTGAGTACATATACAATACTCTCTTAGACCAGTGACTCTTTTTTCCTCTTTACTCATATTCTCTGCTCATATATATATATATATATATATATATATATATATATATATATATATATATATATATATATATATATATATATATATATATATATATATATATATGTATATATATATATATATATATATATGTATATATATATATATATATATATATATATATATATATATATATATATATATATATATATATATAAAACTATGTATATAGATATGAGTACCGCCATTAATATAAAGGTATATATATTTGAGTGTGTGTTTGTTAGCTAAGAGAATAGGTTGGGTGAAGACAGGTAAAAGAATATTTTATATGTTGTGGCTATGTAACAGCCTGTGGCAAGGTTATTTTTTTCGACCGAAATCTCGAGTTTTGCTTTCAATCACCCAGGTTTTCGTTAACACTGATTAGGGTGGGATCGATAGTTTCAAGATTCGATACCGATTACAGAACAAGCCTTCTACACTGGCTGTGGCATTTTGTCCGTAGAACACAAACTAGCAGTCAATAATGCCTAGCATCGATACTCAGTCAATAATGACCAGTATCGCTACTTATTCAGTAATGACCAGCATCAGTACTTAGTCAATAATGTTACATCGATACTAAGTCATTAATGACCAGCATCGATACAGTCGACCAGCTCCATGTTACCACACGAATAAAAAGTTACCATTGACACAGTGAACACATACATCTCATTTTTTACATGTAAAAATGTTTTACCTGCAAACAAGGTATACATATATATTTATATATATAGTGTGTGTGGTGTGTAGTGATGGTGTATGGGAATCATATTTTAATTTAATTTAATTATTAAACACCACCCCCGAATGGTTCACGGTACATTTGATTGCTTTTTTATACTAACAGAATACCTAGCACTGTACTGTATAGTAAAGTAACTAGGACAGTTGATCACTTTATTCTACCAAAGACCTACAAAATGTATATATCCTAGGTCTTGAAAAGGGCTATATCTCAGGTCTTTAAAACACTAAACCACTGGCTCTAAAATCTATACAGACCATACTACACATCATAAAGCTGAACATCGTAGGCTCTAAAACCAACATCACAGATCCTAACAAATTTTCCGTATACAATCACAATCGCTTGAACAACGTCAGATATCACTAGAACACAGTTGCATTAAAGTTAAGAGTTTCTAATGTTAAATGCTGTTCATTAGGTCTATTGACTGGATCGTTGAGGTCTGTCTACGTTGTTTTATTGCTGAATAATGGCGCATGAGATAACTCGAACAATTACTGTACACTTTAATAGGTGGGCGTAAAGGCTTACTAGGATGGGAAGAAGCGGACGTTTAAAGCAAGAAAAGAAATGTTTCACATTAGTTTTAAATCTCCAGAGAGCAGTAGCTCAAAGTTAAAGTTATCAAGTTGTGCACTGTTTCAGTTGATGGTTCTAGGGAATTACGACATAAAAATACGTAATTCTTACATTTCAAGTTTAGATATTCGCTGTACTAATAGTACATTTGGTGGTTTTAGGGAATTAAAACAAATGATACGACATTCTTACATTTCAAGTTTAGATGCTAACTGTACTAATAACATATTTGAAAACTTATTTTCGAACTGAGAGGATTTTGGGGTATTAAAAAAAAGCATCAATAGGACAATAGATGCTAATGTTGATGTTAGGGTTGGGAGAGAGTCAAAGCTCATGGTTATGGTTACTGTTAGGGCTAGCGTTAGGGCTAGGGTTTGTGGTTAAGGTTTGTGGTTAGGGTTTGTGGTTAGGGTTTGTGGTTAGGGTTTGTGTTTAGGGTTTGTGTTTAGGGTTTGTGGTTAGGGTTTGTGGTTAGGGTTTGTGGTTAGGGTTTGTGGTAAGAGTTTGTGGTTAGGGTTTATGGTTATGGTTTGTGGTTAGGGTTTGTGGTTAGGGTTTGTGGTTAGGGTTTGCGGTTAGGGTTTGTGTTTGGGGTTTGTGGTTAGGGTTTGTGGTTAGGGTATGTGGTTTGTGGTTAGGGCTTGTGGTTAGGGTTTGTGGTTAGGGTTTGTGGCTAGGGTTTGTGGTTAGGGCTTGTGGTTAGGGTTTGTGGTTAGGGTTTGTGGTTAGGGCTTGCTACACATAGATTGAGATCTGCCCGCTTTACATACATTAGGATCTGTCCGTACACTATTTTCGCCCTGAAATATTTCATTCATGAATTCTGTTCTGTACAACGCAGATGTATACTATAGTCTCTCTACCTAAAGTGTGCCTTGAAAATATATGACCTTTTAAACGTTACAGTTATGTTCAATCTTTGACCGACAACTTACCTGTGCAGACGTCAATTGCAGTTTGTCGTGTCAATCATTAAGTGACATGACATGTCAGATGCATGCCTATTACAAGCAGCATCTAATTTATGTTCTGGTCTGTGTCTTAAAGATAATTAGTTGCGCATGGTTCCAGTTGATTGGGTGAGAAATTATTCCAATCAATGTGACACGTCACAATCTTCGTTACGTGATGTGGGTTAATGAAGGCACGTGCGCTGATGAAGGCAAATAACGGTCATTGGGGCGTGAGTTAAATAAAAGACGTTCCGCTCTATGTGGTTAAATTCTTGCTCACACTAGTCTAGTGCGCGCGTGAGTAGTCTTGTGGTCGTGTGAGGTATGGACTCAGATCCACGCTCTGTTCAGTTTAAACAGCCTGTCTTTGTATCATGACTTGAATACCTGACTGATGCCTTTATAGAGCATAACATCATGCCTTTGATTCCTGACTGATACCGTTTTAGAGCAAGAATTCATGTCATCTTGACTGGTACATTTATAGAACAGGACATCATGCCTTTGATTCCCGACTGATACCGTTTTAGAGCAAAAATTCATGTCATCTTGACTGGTACATTTATAGAGCAGGAAATCACCCCATCGATACCTAACTCATACCTGTTGTTTATCTTTTCATACTTTTAACACTTGACTTACCTGTTACTTATTCTCATGAAAAAAGTAATGGAAGTGTTTACATACCAAACTAACGTTCTGTTTTTTTCGATGAAGTGCTTATAAACCTGTCAAACACACCCGGATATAATGCGTTCACTTCCCGGTTTATTTGTGCTTGAGTCTACTCAGCTTCGTTGGGTACCTGACTCAAGTTAAGAAAAATCATGCTGTATATTTTTCTAAACACAAATACATTCATATTTTGAGATCGAAGTATCAGGAGAACTCTACTTCATCTGCACTTTGACAGACAGGTCACATGAATATTTACCTCCATGTCCTAGTTCCGATTCCTCCAGTTAAAATAACCTGAGACTCCCGTCGAAATAAACATCTCTCTTTCTGTCCGCCATAAATAAACATCTCTCTAGCTGCCCCCCCCCCCCTTCTTCATCTGTAATTACAGTTAGTATTACAGAGGAAGTAAAGCTATTTTATGCAGGTGTAGTATTACTAGAGCATTAAAATAATCAGATTTAGAAACGTCGTCTATTATTGGAAAATCAGTTTTAGCTAAGTATCAAATTGATTTAATTATATACAACCCCTACCGATTTAGTTACATAAGTAAAAGTCATATGCCTATGTTGTATAAAATAAATATTCATCCACTTATAAACACATTCATAGAGTAAACATAAATATACATCCAATAAAACAGAAACTTAGATATATATATATATGTATATATATATATATATATATATATATATATATATATATATATATATATATATATATATATATATATATATATAGTTAATGGATATTTATAATTATTGAAGGAACGTATTGATTAGTAAATGGATATTTATGTTTACTATATATATATATATATATATATATATATATATATATAATTATATATATATAGTAAACATAAATATCCATCTACTTATCCATATGTTCCTACAGTAATTATTAATATCCATCCACTAATCCACACATTTATACAGTACCATAAATATCCATCAATTAATCTGCCCAAGTTCATACCATTTCTAATAAATAAATGTAGTTAAAGTAAAAACAATATAATACATTACGTATGAGCCCTCAATTATTTATGATATTGACTGCTAGGTCTACAATACAACCACGTTTTCTCACATACACGACTTTGCTTTCTTTAGAACTACTTGCGGCCAGTTTTCTTGTCGCAATTGCTTCCCTCCCTTTGTCTTTTGTTCCAGCGGCGCGAAAGTAGGGGACGCAACTCCCTAAGATTGTTTATAAAATACCCCATTAAATTATTTCCCTCGCCAACCTCCACAGACATCAAACGTCAGCGGTGCAAGACATTTTTTTATCCCCCATTTTATTTTCTCGCACGCGAAGTGATTTTCTTAATCGCGTCTCGGTTGGGTGATCGCAATTTCCTCAGTTCAGGGGAGAGAACTAATTCTACGTCTCATTTAATGTCTTGAAATAATACATCGATTGGTGGTCCGATTCAGCTTAGTCAGCAGGTACCTGATAATAGGGGAACCCCCGGGGTAATATTACAGGTTTTACCTGCAGGTGAGATACATGTTGTGATACAGGTGGAAAAGCTTATCATGCAGGTACCAAAGTTATCACACAGGTGAAATAGTTAAGCTTGATATGCAGGGGTTGGAAGGTAACACAAAAAATTGATACAGTCAAATAGATAAACAAGTTACACAGGTATAGTATCCATAGATACCACATACCAATTGTGTTAGTCATAAGTCGCAGAGAATATCACATTTAACTTTTAACCCAACGTCTTAATTATACAACCTCTGTCTAAAACCTACAACCTACTTCTGAAAATTACACTCAATACCTAAAATCTACACCCCGTGACTAAACCTACAACCTATTCCTGAAACCTACAACCCATCTTTATCCTTATGTCAAAAAACCTATGCCTAAAACCTACAACATATGTCAAAAACCTACTCCCATGTCTAAAACCTACATCCAATATCTGAAAGCTAAAAACC